CAAAACATTCAAAATGGGCAAAAACATACTGGACAAAACGTCCCCATACGGTTTTTTGTTGTAAGTACTTTTGAATACTCCTCCTATAGAGGGGCGTGCCCGACTTAGGCGGAGCATGGAGGAAGGCAAGACGGGGCGAGCGGGGGATGGGGGGAGGGGAAGACGCGGGCGCCTGGCTGTGCTCGAAGCCGCCCATGCGCTGGAGCACCTTGCCCCCGGGTGCCCCGCAGAGCATGAATCCGAAGTCCTGGGCGGATGGGGTGTGGGGAGGGGGGAGATGCGCATCGTTAACCGATCCCTAGCCCCATACTGGCAAAACCTTGGCTCCACTGGCCGGCTTGCCCGCCTAGGTGGGGACACATGCCTGCTCCTTTGGGTATCACGTGGCCTACCCCCGCCTGTGCGGGTGGGCTGATGGGACTGAGATACCATGGCCAATGGGGATATTCCCCAATCAGTGCTTGCACTGAAGGGGTCCTAGCGGAAATTGAAAGATTAGGCGAAAATTTCCCGCCGATTTTGGTAGCAAGCTGGGCTGCCGGGTTCCCTGTCCCGGGTTCCCGGGTTCCCAGTTATTGGTTCTGGGCCGATTTCGGTGGGTTATGGGTTCCCGGGCTCCCAGGTTCCCCATCGATCTCCTCAGCGAAAACCATCCACTGATTGGGGTTTTCGCTGGTGCAATGGATACATTAGGCGATGCTGAAGGAGAGGAATATGCTGCTCCTATATAGTCCACTGTGCCCGTGAATATCGCGGCGAGCAGCCTCCTCCGAGAGACACTCCGACGACGCGGACTTCGAATCGCACGTGGGGGCGGGGGGCGGGGGGAGAGGGGTAGACTGAAACTGTACACGTCGTTCATGTCTAATTGTGCTAATTTCTAATTGCGCTCGTTTCTACTTGTTCCTGGCCCCCTGGTGACCAGGAAGAGGCCCATGGTAGAACAATCAGAAATGCAAGGATCTCGGCCCCCCACAAATCAAAGAACTTTCGAAGAATTAGAAATCAACAGTGTGCAGGGTCAACTGGGATGCAGAAGGATACGCTGGTACCGTGCGCCCCCCCTTGGACGCGCACGCCCGAACCGAGCATGCAGTTCAACCATACTGTATGATATCGTTGCCCACGCGGCATGGCCTGAAGGCGCCCGCCACCGAGAATATGCTATAAGATGTCTGAGCCCGCGCGCGTCGCCCCTGGGGGGCCAACGCACACATGGCATCCGATCCGCTGTGCTCCCTGACATCGCAACGAACATCTTCCTCCGAGAGACACTCCAACAAAAAGGACTTCGTAACTCGCACGACACTCCAACCCACCACGTTGACAATCACTTCTGACAGAGACGCCGTGCGCAGATCAAAACTATAACACCCCCTTCACGTATGCAATTCGTTCTCCTCATTGAACACTACCGGGCCAAATCCGACCTGGACATTTTGTTCTGCATTTTCATTTGGCACTTCATCCGTCCTACCTGTGAAATGAGCCATGCTGTGCCGACATATCCGGTCCCGGCGTGCTCATATGTGCCTTCATAGGTTTCATGGACACCGCGTCCATCCTACCAATGATTTGGTACACTTCGGTGCAAAACCCAATCCGTCTTCGGAATGTTCCCTTGAAGCTCTGCGATGGGCATTGTTTCGTCAATGCTGCGGATCCATATGAGCTAACATCAGACGGGCCATTTGCGTGCGCGCAAGAGAAACATCATGAAATCTGCCCCCTGAGCATTTCAAGACCGAACTCCTATCAATCACAGATGGGGCACCACTTGCTTGTCTTAATTTCTGCCAGCGCGCGCCAATGCCTATCAACGCAGTTACCCAAATGCGCGCATGAGCTCATTGAGTAACACGGCTGTTCGTAGGATTAAGTGAGTAGTTGGATGAGATCACCAGCAATCGAACAAGACGCGCATGGCATGGCTGTCTTGCGCAATCGGGAGCTGTTCGGGCGAAATGTGGTTTGAATGAGCACGCCGCTGTATGAGAGGATGGATGCGTGGGTATGATCGCATGCCGCAACAAACCGTACTAAACCCTCCGGACACTTGTATATCAACGTCATACCATGTGAGATGCTCTCATTCGCCAAATGCGTTTGTTGTTGTGCTTGTTAATTGTTATTTGTTCGCTCGTTCTCTATAACTTCGGGATTGGGAATGACACTCCAATTCGCCACCGTGCGGCGAGGCACGCCGTGGAGTGTCCTCAGATGCCGTCGAGGCCTCCGTGCGAAGGTATGCGCTGTAAGGGGCCCAGGCCCACGAGTCATGGGCGCTCCTGGACGCTCTCTGAGGCTTGCCGCGGGCTCTCCCGAGGCCTCGGGCGCGTAGCTCGGAATCCAAACTTCCAAGATGCCCTCAGATACAGTTTCAGGCCTGCCCGGTCCTAAGACCATGAAGTGCGAGACCCCAGGACGGCGTCAAAGCTTCCAAGGGGGGCCCAACAAGCCCCCAAGGAGGCCCCAAGCGGGGCCCAAGAGGGAGAACTCAAATGCACCACTGGGGCCTTCCACCCCAAGATGGCTTCCGAATCACCCAATAGGCCCCCAAGAAGCGCCCAAGAAGCCCCCAGGAGGTCCCAGTATGAATTCCAAGAGCCCCCCACGATGCCTCCAAGAGACCTCCCTGGAGACACCGAGAAGGAACTTGTCTACGATCTGGGCAAGGTGGCTGGACGCGCAAAATGTAACTAGATCCGCCACTGAGGCAGAGTCGGGGTATTCTCAGTCCTTGGCCAGATCCCTGAAACCTCAATCCTCACTCCAGGGGATTATTCAGGGAGCCCGGACCCCAACTTGCCAACTCTCCTGGGACTTGTCGGGTACCTCTGGGGCTCCTGGCGTCTTCATGCGTGACTTTTTCGGACCCGAGAGGGTCCCAAGAAGGGCCAAGAAGGTCCCAAGAGCCCCCAAGACGGTCCAAAATGGCCCCGAATCGCCGATGAATCGGTCCAAGACGCCTAAGATGGCCTCCTGTCGGCCGAAAACACGCCCCAAACGCCCCAAGGCGCCGCCAAGAGCATTCTCAAGCGGGCCCACATAAGCAACAATCGTGTATGTTCCTTAGATGTTTCAATGCTTCTGGGGTTCTCGACTTTTCGAGCTTCCGACGCTGCAGAACGTCCCAAGACTTATGTTGCTCCCCTTGTACTTAAAGACCACATCCCAGAAATAATTTCGAGCACCCGGAAAAGTGTCGAAAGAGTGTCGAAACAATGTGGGACGAGTGCCTCCCAGGGCCCGACACGTGAAAACCCTTGAGTTTTTGTATACTTTTCTGGTGCTCGAGATTCGTTCTGGCAATCAAGACTAAAGTAGGTTGAGACAACATAACCCAAGAGGCGGCGAAGAGGCCACAAAGAGGGGCCCAAGACAGCCCAGGAGGGCTTCGAGACGGCCCAAGAGGCGCCCAAGATGGCCCACGAGGGGAACACGCGAACCGACAGGAGGCGCCCAGGAGGCGCCCAGAGGCCCCCAGGAGGCCCCAGGAGGCCCCCAGGAGGCCCCCAAGAGGCCCCCAAGAGGGTCAAAAGAGGCCCCGAAACAGCCCCCCAGAGGCTTAAAACTGCCTCCAGATCCCCGGAAGGCCTTCCACGACATCCCAACATCCAAGAGGCCTATGACCCTCAACCCAGGCACAGTGGCGGGATGGGCCGAATGCCATTCGATGGCTGGGACGTCCACCACCCCCATGGCTGGGATTCGCACCAACTGATTATGCTTGCTCCCAATCCTGGGGGAATATGAGAGCGAAGAGATGGGTGATGGGTATAAAGGGAAGAGGACGAGGCGTCTTGGACCCCCCAACCGCTTGCTTAAGTACGGTACGTGCACCTCGAAGCCCCGTCGGCGTTGGCCTCTGAAACCGTGTGGGTCGTTTAACCTCAAGCGATCGCGGCCTTCTGATGGCGTAATGAGATCTTCCGACGTCGCCCGATTCTGGGCCACCGACGGCGTTCTGCATGCGACACTACCTCGGCGTGACCGGGTCCTGGCGCACAGCCCTGACACGGACGGGAGGCGACGACGAGGAACCCGCTGGACCCCGAGTGCTACACTGCCGGCCAGCTCGGCAACTTGCTGATCACCGCCCCCGCCCAGTGAAAGCAAGCGCTTGGGCGGGCGGACCCGGCCGAGGGGCCCAGCGAGGTGTGGTCCCTTTGGAGACCTGTCGCTGCCCTGCCGCGCCCGCCCTCGTCCTGAGCGCTGGCCTGACAGCTCTGTCTCCTTGCCCTCCTCCTCCGTTGTGCCCTCTCGCCTCGGCTGGCCTTTGCTGGCCGTGAGGCTCCCACACCCTTCTCGTCCCGGGTGACTGTGCCACGCGCGCCTCTGACGCTCTGGTCGCGCGCTGGTCACTGCCTCCGCATTTGGCCCTTCGGCCGCCACCTCGGCTGCGGCCTGCGGCAGCGTCTGTGCCCCCCGCCGCCTCTGCGCGGCGCGTGCGCCTGAGCGGTGTTTCGCCCGCCTTGCTGTCTGCCGGCGTCCTGTGGCCGCGTCACTGTAGTGTTATGTCGGGCGTGTCCCCCTACAGGGGGATTTTCGACGAAAAAATAAAAATACCCCAAACATATTCCAAAACGGTCAAAAAATACCAAAAAATAGTCCCTGGACTATTTTTGAAGTATTTTTTGACTATTTTTGGGGTACTTTTTTTTTGTTCGTCGAAAATCCCCCTGTAGGGGGACAGGCCCGACATAATTGTAGTGCTCGTCCCCACCCTCGGGCGCTGTCACACTTTCTCGCCCGCCACCCACGCCCGGCGGGCACGGCGCAGTCGATCCACTGGGATCCCGCTTCCGAGGGCCCTGCCGCGCGTGCCGGTCCTTGTTGGTCGCTCGACTTTCTTCGCCTCGTCGCTGCGCGCGCGGCCGCGACCGCCAAAAAGTGTGTGTGTGTGTGTGTGTGTGTGTGTGTGTGTGTGTGTCGGGCGGCTGCTGCGGGACCATAAGCGGTCTCTGAGGGCTCGGGCGCTCCTCCCGGAAGCGCGCGCGCTCGATTGCTGCCCCACGACTTTCTCCGCCCTGTCGCTGCGCGCAGGGCCGCGACGCCCAAAAAATGCGTACGTGCGTGCGTGCGCGTGCGCGTGCGTGTGATTGTGCGTGTGCGCGTGAGCGTGCGTGTGATTGTGCGTGTGCATGTGCGTGTGCGTGTGCGCGTGTGCGCGTGCGCGTGCGCGTGCGCGTGCGCGTGTGCCAGCGTGCGTGCGTGCGTGCGTGCGTGCGTGCGTGCGTGCGTGCGTGCGTGTGTGTGTGTGTGTGTGTTTGTGTGCGCAAGACGCTCCGTCGGGCACTGGGCCCCCAGGCGTCAATTTGGGCTGCTGCCTCGCCTCACCGCGATCGTTCGACGCCGTTGGCCAGCGCTAAATCGGGCCTGTCCCTCTACAGGGGGAATATTCAAAATAGTCAAAAAATAGTTTGGGG